GCTGGCTGCGGAGTTCCGACTTCAGACCGTCCCAAAACCTTCTCGCCCTATCCACAGGGTCTTCCACCATCCTTGGTGCAAATTTAGACAACCTGGAGAACTCAGCTTCATACTGATCTACAGTCATCTGATTTTGGCAAAGCCGTAGAAACTCTGCCATCTTCTGTTCTCGTGCTGTCTCAGAAAAGTACTTCCCATTGAAAGTTTCAGCAAAGGCGGTCCAGTTCGGAACCGTGCCCACAGGGAAAACCCTACCTCGGGTGGCCTCCCACCAGTCATTTGCCACACCCTGAAGCTGATACACAGCCAGGGTCACCTTCTCCTCTTCCGTGCACCCCAGCAGTGCAAAGACCTTTTCTAGTTCCTTAACCCAGAGGATAGCGGCTTCGGGATCACCTTTTCCGTCGAACTTGGACGGCTTAAGCTTCAAAAACTGCTCTACTAGTTGATGCATATGACAATTTCCATTTCCATTCCCATTATGACCGTTATTCCCATTGTTTCTATTAGCCCCATTGGCAGCAGCAGCAGCAACTGCGGCCTCAGCAGCAGCAGCGACGGTAGCAGCTTGACCTCGAGTCTGTCTACCCATTAAAGTTCCAACCTCTGCAAGTGCCCTTAAAATTCCGTCCACTGTGGGATCCTCCACCACTCCAGCTTGCGGGGCTACGCGACTTCCACCTCGACCTCGACCTCGACCTCTACCTCGACCTCGGCTGCTCATTCTCACTGGGTTCTCACTCCCGTCTACCTGCTATAATTCTATTCAGGAATTAGAGACCTAGGCCAACCATACCAGTCTAAAGCCCTTGACAGTGAATCACAACAACAATTCACTAAGCAGGCAGCCAATCACACGCAACACTCAATCACAACCAACAGAGTTTGTGCACTTACCTCAAGTCCTGACGCACCTGTACCTCACATATTATTGCATATCACCATTCAGCAATCACAATCACACGGTCTGGGATACGCATGGCACACAAGTCTCCCTAACTAGCTACCCCAAAGTCATCGCTCCTTATCACTCCAGGCTTCGACCAACATGTATCGAGCTGACCTTGCTCTGATACCAAATCAACGGGGATGTCACACCCCGAACTCGAACGAGCGCTCAATCATCCCTTTGTGGTCGTAATGTACGCGACATCCCAGGACTTATCGACGACCCAATCAAAACACTAACGAGCAACGCATGCGGAAGCAACCTCGAACTCTCCAAACAACATATAAACAACGGGATAGTAGAGAGACAAAGAATACACATTAACAAGACACTTTTATAAACATAACATCGATTACAACACATACATTTGCAAGCTTTCTACGAGGCCACTATCTACGAACCACGCACAACAACAAGGATCGGGTGGTTGGTAAGCTTAACTCCTCTACAAAAAGGGGCACTCAAAAGATGAGCTAACTCGGCCTATCCTCAATCCCCGTAGTATGCGCGGCGTCTCCGGATCAATCACGGTCTGGTCCTGAAATGGTTTGGTTATACAACCATGAGAACACTTCTCAATAAGCAACTACCTAAGCCTCGCTTAGGCCAAAGCGTACCTCTGAACAATTCTAAACATGCAATACCGACATCCAACATGTCATAACAATCACAGGCGCCCTTACCTCGCCTCGGCACATACACAAGCCCTGCACGTTAGAATATCGCCATAACATGGCCAATTGCTCATCAAGCTTGTACAACGCAATTCAAGGTATAATCATGCATAACACGGTTAATAACCCAGACGTGCTCAACATTAAATTCAATCATGGCATTCTCTAATGCATAGCACACGTTTATAAATGTCTAGATTATTAACGACCCCTCGGGCCACCGAACTCCCGCCGGTCTTTTGGCGTAACCAAGCATCGTCCCGCTACGTCGGCGACGGCAACGTTGGGGATCGAACTCCCCCCCGGCAAGCCGGGTACCCAACGGCATTCCACTTAGGAGCATCGATCCGGCCTCCACCGCGATCGGCATCGTCTGGGATCGAACACCCCCCGGCAAGCCGGGTACCAGACGGCAACGTTGGGGATCGAACACCCCCCGGCAAGCCGGGTACCCAACGGCATCGTCTAGAACTCCCGCCTAGACGGAACGTGTCGTGACCATGCACACACCTCAGCAATCATTATCAATTCTTATCTTGTAAATTAGCCCAGTGTCAACTAAATCCGTCAAACGCCACGATAACATCGAATAGTCCCTGAGAGAGAGAAAACCGGAATTGCACACATTCGGGCTATTCTGGGCAGTTTGAGCAACAACCGAAATTTCTTTGAAATAAATATTAATTCAACTCCAAAAATTCTGAAATTTGCATATGTTATACAAAACATCTTGATTAACATTTTTCATGGAGAACACAAGATCCATTTCTGTCTAGAACCACCTCTTTTTGTCATCCAAAGTCGGACATAAAACATTTCATTCGGACTGGCCATCCGGCTTCCAAAATGCATTTCAAGTAGTAACCAAATCTCCTTAGAACGATTCGAAATTTTTATATGTCATAGCCAAAAATGTCTCCAACAAGTTTTGTGAAGAAAGTATTTTGAAAATAGGTCTAGAAAAATTTATAAAAATTCGAACAGACCCGAAGGTCGGAGGAACAGTATTTCCGGCAGACTTATTTCGGTCAAAAGATGGACTTACGAATGGCACTAAATGATCTCCAAAAATTCCAGATTTAATATATGTCAAACTTCAAGATGTTATGAACAACTTTTATGAAGAACACTTCCTCAAATTCGGCCCACACAATTCACAGTAAAAATAGCAAAATCCAGCGACACAGCAGCAACCTTACCGAAAATTAACCAACAAGCACCACCAAGCAAACCAAGCACAACCAGCCACTAATCCAACTATCCACAGTCCTTAAACCATCTCTAACATGTCCATTAGTCACCCCTTAGCCTAGTCAAGGGTTAGGAAGCCACTTACTCAAGGCCTAAGCAAGATTTTCAAGCTAGGGAGCCTAACAAAGCCAAGCCAAGCAAGCAGCAGTTGCTCCGGCGGTTGGACGGGTAGCTCGGCGATTTCCGGCGACCTGGACGGCGGCGAGCGGTACGGCTGAGGTGGTTGGCTGGTGGAGATGGACGAAGGTGCTGGTGATGCTGAGTGGTGGTGGTGACGGGATGGACGAATGGAAGGGAAGGAAGAGAGTGAGCTCGGTGGTGGTGTGTGGCTGAGATGAGTGGCGGCGGGTGGCGGCGCTCACGGCGGCTGAGGGTGGCTGAGCAAGGGAGCTGGTCGGTCTGGTGAGCAAAGCGAAGAAGAAGAAAAGCAAGAAGCAACGAAGCAAAATGAAGAAGAAAACAGCAGCAACGAAGTGAAGAAGCAGCGTTAAAAGGGCAGAACAGAAGCAGCATGTGAAGTTCATCATGGGCAGCAGCAGCAAAGGCGTGGGCAGCGGTAGGTCAGCAGAGGAAGTCAGCAAGGAGGAGAGGTCAACAAGTCAGCAGAAGAAGGGGTGTCAGCGGTTAGCAAGCAGAAGTAATCAGCAGCAGCAGCATGGGGGGAGCAGCAGCGTGAAGCAGAAGCTGCAGCAGCAAGCAACGTAGGAGCAGAAGCAGTCAACCAACATGATCAACAAGAGCAGAAGTCAGCAGAACAGAGGCATGGCAGCGGCAGCAAAGCAGAGGCAGCAGCAACGTGAGGGTGAGCAGCAACGTGGGGAGTCAGCTGAAGCATGGGGGAGTGATGATGGCTGGTGGAGTTGGTGGAAGAAGTCAGCAGCAGCAGCAAAGGCAGAAACAACGTGGGGGAGGGCAGCGGGGAAAGAGGAGGAAGTCAGCGGCGTGGGGCAACGGCGACGTGGGGGAGGAGAGAGAGAGAGAAGAAACAAAAAGTCAAATGCACTTGAGCGCGATCCGACGATCCTCGTTCAAATCCGAAAACGATCCAACGGCCCATGAAAAACCCTAATTATAAATTAGGAAAAAGGCCAAAAGATAATAACTAAAACACACTACGAGGGAGGTCTACTAGTCCAAATCCACACCCGGTCCAAATTTCACTTTTCACTTATCCCGGGTAATATTGACACTGGCCACAATAATATCGACATCGTCCAATTAAATTCGTCATGAAACTCCGAGAAATTCGACACCAAAGTTCGCGCTCTAAATAATGGCCAAATTCGATCGAGTGCGATTCTAGCAAAATCTCTAATTTAAAAAAAAATAACCCAAGAGTGATCAGTTCCGGGCGAGATTTTATTATAAGTGCACTGACGAATTACACATTTTATAAATCCCAAAAATGGGTCGAAATTCGGAATGTCACACTTGTAATTTTCTTTGGGGACCTACAGACGCGAAGAGTCAATCAGAGCGGCCCGCTTTTCCTGGCCCCCCAAAGAACGTGCGGGGCAGCTCTTCTTTTTCCTTTTTAATGGAAAGTCTATATTTCAACTTGCTTTAACTTTTTCACATTGTGCCCAAACTCATTCAGAAAAATCAGTGTACTTTCCCCAGCTTTGAAGTATAAATTGCGAAAAAACTCGGCTCTACATGGTCGCAGAAAGTCTTCACTTCGCATAGATGCGACAAAGTGAACACCGTGCATTATATATCATGAAAAAGCGCAGACAAATTGAACAATGGCCATAAGTATTAGGGCTCCAATATTTATACCATCACTAATATCGAGTATCACCACTTAACACGAATCATTCATTTATAGCGTGAACGTGTAGTCTAGAAATGTAAGCTCCACCATGTATAACAAGAACAGCGAAGGAGACGCATCAGTCCCAGATATTTAGGGTTTGGAACCGACAGTTATGAGTGAAAAATAGTACTAGTGGTGCAAAACGGCGGGCGCCATCGACAACTAAATGTAGTTTACCCAAAAGAAAGGTCATGGGCGGTTCGCGAGGCGCCCACTTCACGCGACGACTGAAAATCCAGTCATTTTCTATTAATTTGTCTTAGCTTTTTCACTCTCGATCCATGTGCGTCTTGAAGCATAGAGCATAGAGTACCAAAAACTCAGCTCTCCACGGTCATCTTGCTGGGCAACCCGAATAGAGGCAATTTGTTCTTTGATATTCACTGAGAGATCAGTTCAAGAATCATCGAAGGAGTAAAAATGAAACGTCGTCTGGCGTTCGAACACAATTTTGTCCGAAGCAACAAGGAGAGCGCACGTCGAAAAGCTCATGATACCGGTGCGTCTAGTTCCTCCGCCACTTCAGCGGGCAGTGATAATTACGATGTGTTTTTGAGTTTCAGCGGCGAGGATACTCGCAGAACCTTAGCAGATCACCTCTACAACGGTCTCGTCGATGCTGGAATCCGCGTGTTCAGAGACAACGATGAGCTTCGCGAAGGTGAGGAGATCGGCACCAATCTTCTCCAGGCCATTAAGAACAGTAAGATCTCAATCCCGATTCTCTCTCGGAACTACGCTTCGAGCAAATGGTGCCTTCAGGAGCTCGCCCACATGGCAGACTGCATGAAGAGCGTCGGGCACGTTGTGTTGCCCGTATTTTACCGGGTTGAACCGGCCCATGTGCGACACCAAATAGGGAGCTTTGGAGAGACGTTCTCCCATTTAAGTGAGAAGTATTTGGAAGAAGATGTTGCGAAATGGAAACAAGCACTCAAAGAAGTGGCTTCCCTAAAGGGATGGGAGTCGGAAAAAACTACTGACGGGTATTTCATTTTCTATCAAAACCTTGTTTACTTTCTTTCAACAGGGTCTTGCTTGTAGAGGAGGCCATGAATTCGCGTGTTCTTCAATTTGCGCTTGCCTTTTTCGCTCTTATATGCTGGAGTGTTGTGATAATGAGATATAACAGGATACGATTGTTCTTCTAATGCATTTTGGCTCGAATGCTTTATAAACAGTTACGAAGGAGAATTGGTGAAAATGGTCGTCAGAAAAGTATTGGGCGAGTTAAAGAAGGCCTTTCAGCTGGTTGTTACCGAACAACTTGTCGGAATCGATAATGCTGTGGAGGATATTTTGAGATTGCTGGATGATAACCCTAGTGCTACCCAAATTGTCGGTATTCATGGAATGGGGGGCATTGGTAAGACAACTTTAGCCAAGGTCGTCTACAATAAGCTCTCCGACAAGTTTCAGCATCGTAGTTTCATTGCAGATATTCGAGAATCCTCGCGGCGCAAGGGCATTTCATGTTTGCAGAATCAATTAATATTTGATATACTGAAAATGAACGATCAAGTGTCTAATACGGATGAAGGAATTAGGATCATGGAATCCAGATTTAAATGTAAGAAAGTGTTAATTCTTCTAGATGACGTGGATCTTAATGATCAGCTCAAAGCTTTGGTTGGGAAACGTGACTGGTTTGAGATGGGAAGTAGGATAATCATTACAACAAGAATAAGGTCCGTCCTTGATGAAGCTGGGGTGAACTGCAAGTACGAACTCAAGGAAATTGCTGAGGATAAGTCCCTGATCTTGTTTAGTAGACATGCCTTTATGAGGGACTCTCCTCCGTGTGAATTTGAGTCTCTCTCTCGTGCTGTCGTGTCCACTACCGGAGGGCTTCCCTTAGCTCTCGAGGTTATAGGTTCGTTTCTATGTGGGCGAAACCCAGCATTTTGGCAAGATGCGTTAATGAAGTTAAAGGAAGTACCACATAGGAAAGTGCAAGAGAAGTTGAGGATAAGTTATGACGAATTAAACTATCAGGAAAAGCAGATTTTTTTGGATATTGCTTGTTTCTTCATTGGACATTACTCTGATTTTGTGTCCTACATGTGGGATGCTTGTAATTTTCTTCCAAGGATGGGGATCGAAATATTGTGTTTTATGTCTCTAATAAAAATTGATTATGGAAAGTTGAAAATGCATGACCAACTGAGAGACCTTGGTAGGGAAATTGTTCGTCAAGAAGATTACGATGCGCCTATGAACCGAAGTAGGCTGTGGGTTCCTGAGGAAGCCTTGGAAGTACTTCAGGGAAATAAGGTAATTGTTACCTCTATCGTTGTTCTACTCTCTTTTGACATGAAATCTCTCGATTGGAATGAATTGTTAAACCTCACAGCCGAGATTACTCTCCTTAAATTATTTCCTCGATGTGATTCGGAAGTGATGTGCTTAGCATCTATACATGGTAGACATTTTCTATTGAATTAAAAAGAAAAAGAAAGAAAACTTTTGGTTGAAACAACTGCTTAGTGGTAGCTTTGTGCACTTGGTGTGAGTATTGATTGATTCTAAGTCGTTATTCGATCAAGCAATTGTGTTTTTTTCCCTTGAAATGACCTGTTGCACTGATGCTCTAATCGGATAAGAGACGGAAAAAGAAAAGGGAGCAAATAGCATAAACAAAAGAAGGGAAAAATTTCATCATAAAAAAAAAAAAAATTAATCACGCTTGTGACAAAATCTGGTCTGACCTGAGCATCAACTTCACAAGTATATAATGAAGGCAAAGTGATAATGTGTCCACTGTTAGCTGATTTGATGTAACATTTGTGAAGGGAATTCTGAAAGATCGCGTAAAGGCCCTTTGTCTCCACCATGACTTCTCGCGGAGGGAATTCACAACCGAGCAATTTGAGACACTACCGAACTTAAGGTTCCTTGAAGTGCATAATGCAAAACTGATTGGAGATTCCAAAGGCTTGCTTCCTAAGTTACGAAGGCTTAAGTGGAAGGGATGTCCTGCATTCGTGCCCGCTAGATTTTGTCTGGAGAAATTAGTCCACCTTGATTTATCAGAAAGTGACATTTCAGAGTTTTGGGAAGGTTGGATTCATCTCAAGGTCAGACTGAGAGCATCTTGTTTTGTCTTTTGTTTCTAGTGACTCATTCTTTGCGAAAATTTATCAATCATTTTGTTTTGCAGGTGGCAAAGCGGTTGAAATCTCTTATTCTTCGAGATTGCCATCGTTTAGAAGTTACTCCTAATCTCTCAGCCTTCCGAAATCTAAAGCGGTTAGTGTTCGAAGGTTGATAAGACCATTTTTCTTGATAGCCCCTTATTCTACGTTTGTCTTTTAAGTACATCAAGGAATGGAGACGCTGGTCGTGGAAGCACGATGCTTCAGGGGTATCGTGCTTCGGATTGTGACAGGAGTCAATAACACATACACAAGGAAAAGTAGAAAGATTTACCAAATAAATCAGTAAATTATCAAAATTCTTCAAATTTTATAGGTGTGGTTAGTAAAACCACAAAATGATTTTACCAACGTCTCCTTAAATTAGTTAGTGACCATTCTTTTTCAAATTGTACCAGTGTAGCCCGTCAATAGATTTACAAATATGTCAATAAATTAGTAAGTTTCGAATTTCTGCCATTATTATATATTTTTGCCGACTCAAAATTTTCTATAGTTAATGTATTAACAATCTGATATTAGCAACATACGAAGGAGGAGGTTTGATATTTAATCACCGAATAAAAAAGATGGATTATTTTCTTTTTGTCTCCTTTCTTTTACATGAAATAATTAGGTTGAATTTAATCAATTAAAATGACAACAGGCTATCGGCTTCCTTCTCTTACGTGATTCAAGGAACATGGAAGCTGATGGAGGAGTATGACATGACACTTTGGAGAAATCATTCTCTTGATAGTGCCAACAGTCATCAGATTGCCTTCTACGTACATCAGATGTCATAGCCATCAAGTTAGATTTCTCATCCTAGCTTATCTATCAATGACTCTCACTAGCACATTTGAGTTATAATTTTTCTCGAAGTACTGAGTTTGAAGAATGATTGGCTTCGTCCCTTGACATCTATTTGGTTATGTTTATTCCCCTACTCAGATACTTTGGATTTCACTTTATCCATGAGGATGCTCAAATGGAAGAACAGTTGCTTCAGATAAGCCATGTGTACTCTTCAGGAAACCCCTTCACTTCAGTTATCTCTGTCCCTTAAGAATGCATTTCAAGGTAAGTCATTAACATGTTTTTGATACACTGCTATATTCTCTTCACAAGATTCTCTGGCCATTTTGGATTCTTGATGAGATTTATGTGAGGAATTTGATCGAGGGCGGGATATCAATCAAATTCATCCCGTCTGGAAAAATCAGCTTCAAATTTTATGTTTTATTTATTCAAGCATTTGAATGTTTATGCTATGCAATGTGGATTTGTTCAGCCAGTGCTCATTCTGGACCTTCGAAATAGCAAGATATACTATAGCCTGCTTTGTATGACGAAAGAAGCAATTTCATATTAATATGGGACATATAAACCAAAGAGAACCATAGGTGGAGGTGGTTTTGATGTGAGATTAAGAATGAAGTGACTGTGTAAATGGACTGTTTGTTTTGGCACCGGAATGAAGGCAGAGCTGGACGTTGTTCTTGCTTTGTGGGAGTTTTGGTGTCAAGACTAATCTGAAAGATGGATTCCTAAATAGCACCTTGTGGCATGATTTGGTAGTAATCGATTCAGTGGATAACAAATTGATCTCGTGATATTGCACCAATATGCAGGAGGTGTTAAAGCCTTTCTTAGGGATGGTTTTTCAGTTTTTGAAGCAGCTATTTGAATTGATGCAGTTAATGAAGGTTGCAATTTATAATTATTGTTCTTGATAGTTCAGGCAGCTTGAGTCTCTGGAATCATATCCATCCAACTCCTAATTTGTTGAAGGATTAACACTTGACAGCAATTTCCTTATGAACTTGAGGAAAGTATCAACCATAATGATGTGATTCCTAACGCCGAAGATTGAACATCCTGACATTAGAAACAGAGGAAGCATGTGCAGAATCTCAGGATTTCCGTTCGAAATTCTTTTGTTCCAGAGAAAACGTATTTTGATAGCTATGACAGTTGCTCACTAGATGCCGAAAAGCTGTTTGTCAACTATTCAAATGTTTTTCTTGGTCGCCCTTATGATAAAATCAAGTTCGTTCCCCCTGATCATGATATTGTTTGTTAATTAAGTATAGAAGTATAGAGTAGTATGTTCGATTCGCATTACTTGGCATTCTAAATTTGTTTGCGGATCTTGGGTTTTGAACTCTGTGGCCACTTTATGTTCTTGTTTCTGCAATTATAATTGAAGTCCATTGTCAGTTTCCATTACTCTTCCAATTCTACAGGAGAGGAAAACAGAGGCACTTCACAATACTCTCTTTTCTTTTTCCCATTTGTTACAGAGCGAGAACAGACGAAGACAAACAGCAGGAAGAAAAAAAAGTTAAAGAAGATAGGGGTGATCATGCAGCGAGGTGAAGGGATTCGAGTTGATACATCCATTGAACAAGGACAGAGATTCGGGGCTTGTGGAGTTATCTTCCGGCAAGCAAAGCAGCTTTCATGACAAGAGAGAGGACGTCGACGACATCCTCGACTTAGCATTTTCTTCCTTCAGAAGTTCGCCCTCCAGGGTTCTTGAAGTTGGCCATGCAGCTCAGTAAGTTTCGGCTGCACACTCCGGGCTCAAATAGTCATCCGCACAACACCCGCCAGGTCTCAATGTCACGACTCCAAAACATCTGTGCGAGCAATACGACCCCGTCTATGAATAAAAGATCAAAGTAAACCATTACACAATATGATTTCTTCATCATTGCCGTCACTTAGTATATTTGACAAGCCAAAATATTGGTGATGTTGTTGTCCCGGAACGCTCAACGAATTATAGGCAACATGAGTGCATTTGCTCCCCCACAATCTCCTCCCCCAAAACCTAATAACAGTAATCAAAGTTGGCTTGTGAATGAAGATATGGTTTAGTGAAATTGTGAAACAACAGAGCCTTTGCAGGCACATTAATTTTACTTGCGGATGTTTTCACCACACTTGGAATCTCCTCTTTCTTTTGACCCGTTAGTACCTCGCGCCATTTTCTCTACATCCACTCCGCAATATACTTTTTCATGAATGCGAATCCATGCATGTATAGAGTCTATATACGTGTAAAGTAATCGTTCACCAGTGAAAAACTTTCCCACATTCATGCTCATAAAATGTCCATGCAATGCCGGGGCCGTCACAGTATCTCTCCCCGGAGAGGAAATTGTCAAATCAGTTCTAAACGTAGGGTATATAATTCAATTTGGTCCTAAACTTTCCATTTTTTCCAATTTAGTCCTGAATCATTGCGCGAAATTCCGATGTAATCCTTTTGGCCAATGTTTGCTAGAAATCACTGACTTGGAGATATGCCTCATGCACATAGGACTGCCGGTGGTGACTCAACTGACATTGAACAAATTAAAAATCAGGGACGACACTACACATTGGGCCAAAGTTTATGGACTATTTGTGTTATTATTCTAATTTTTTCACATTACCTATAACTTTGACCAATGGCCAAGTGACCCATCATTCATTTCCTACTTGTTTTTCTATCGCTAGCGTTCAGCGAACTCAACATACAAACACAACCTTAACTCTGAGTCTAAATCGTTAGATTTGGTGAGATCTATACGAGACTTACATGAATCTTATCATTGTGAGTGGTTCAGATTCAATTTAGTATATGTACTCGGTATTTGTAAAAGGAGTAGAGAGTGAATTGTCACCCAATTTAGGGCACTGATACAAATCCCGGAAAATCTCTAACCATTGGATCGTAAAAGAACAAATGTCAATCGTTCATTGAAAAACTCCACAATATTGTGAGGCACAACATTTTATATAGAAAGTACAATAAAATGCACTGAGATACTACATTTTTAGGAAGGAGATTCAATCTCTCGAGATCATAGAACTGTCACCAGATCGGTGGTGACTACCGGTCTTCAACATGCATGGAAGTGTCGTGTGGGCTCTCTGAGATGGAAAATTCTTAGCATTCGATTTTCGTGCAAGAAAAAACAAAGGAAATAGTTGCAGGATTGCTCCACAAAAATAAAAGTACGAGACCCACCATTGTTAATGGCCGTAATCGATTGGCTCCGCCAAGACCAGTAAAATCCCAAACTTGAAAAGCTACATATGCGACTCCGGTGCTGATAAGAAAATATGGACAACTGTTTAAAGCAGAAACTCTTAGCCAAGAAGGCAAAGCTCGAGATTTCTTTTAGCATTGCCATCAAAATGGTTGCCACTGAAGTTTCTTACTAAGTATAAAGCAGATGCATAACTGTTGATTGCTCTCAAAATTCAAAATCCCCTTGTTGCAGCTCAAAGTGTGGGTCAAGGACTCTTTCTCCTTCCCCTTCTTCCAACTCCGGTTTGTATTTTTTCATGAAGGGATCTCTGATCAATAATAGAACAAAATCCACTTTCTCACATCTAAAGGATTCCTTCATTTGAACAGAAGAAACAATGTCACTCGACCATTATCAAACTGACTGCAATATTCTTCAGTACGCAGGGATCTAAACAAAGAAAGAAGGAAAGAAACAAAAGGGAAGAAGAATTACTAGACAGCATAAAGTAAAGGGGATATGAGATTTTCTTCCAAAGCCCCCCAAGAAAAGTCAACATGATTGAACCCCGACTCTGAAGTGAAGTCTGCGCAATGAGAACTTCCTCCCAGATGCAATCCAAGCTAGAAGCAAAATATGTTTCCAACAAAACCAAGAAACCAGTGTACAATTTAAGATCTGCAGCAGAACTTCACCAGTTATCATGTTATTTTCCAGAAACGTCAGCATGTCGATTTTTGTCACCGAGACATCGTCCCTCAACTTCTAGCAACTCATGAGGATAGTGGATACAGTCCTTTATTCTATTCCTGGTGGGCGTGGCTACTCAAAAGTGTAGCACAGCTTTCTAAGGCTTCACTCTTATGAGCCTGACATGTACGTATACCGTGTTTGGGCTCCGACAATCAGCTCTATGACTTTAGCTGCATGAGTAAACATCAAAGAATGAGCACAATTGCCCATGATAAGTAGCCTTAGCTTAGCCAACGTAAAAAATAGAAGCAAAATGGGAACATAAGAACACCTGTAAGAGCCCCAAAAAGGGGAACAGGTTCCAACAGTTTCTCTGCTTTGTCGAGCCTTTCCCTGAAATATTAGAGAAAGGTACGTGGTTTCCATCAGGACATTCATCCCAGAAATGTAAATTTCACAACGGAATATAATTTCTGGTAGCTATGAGTACCTTATGTATTTGCTAAAAAATGGATCTCTCATGAGGTAGAGTGCCCAGAGTACCTTTCTTCTTTTCAACTAAAATACAGGGAAAAAGAACACTTGACACATCTTGAGAGAATCATTAATCTGGACATGACATGGCTCGAAGGCCAGTCCAAAAGCTTTGTGATACAAGCCAGGGCATGCTAAATGGACAAATTCAAATGAATGAATACATAACTAGAGACTCTAACCTCATCTTTTTCTGCAGTGGTGTACTGAAACTTGTGATCTCTACTACCCCATCCAGACAACATAACTTGAGAAAAGATGCCAACGCCAACCACATCCATGGCCAGTGAAAGAAACCAAGGAGTCCAAGACCGAGTTCCATACTTTCTAATAAATAAAACATAGATTAGCGGCCTTGCAATAAATAGGATTTCCCCCATGAGATATAAAGATCCATGAACACCCTTCTCGGACAAAATAGATGACAATGTTGATTTCTCTGCCTTTGGAGCTGCCATAAAACAAAATGTATCAGCAAAAGTACACTATACAACTTCACCAAGGTTCAACTAACGACCTCCCGACACGCCTACCGATTGATTCCATAATAGAATTCTGTTGCTGCACCCTGCGCAACCACGCTGGGTCAGAAACCATTCTGGCATTCTCTCCAAATCTGCTTAACGCCGACAGTGCTCTTCCTTCCAGATTCCACCCATTCTGCCCATTCTGTCCATTCTGCCCAAAGCTATTCCTGAAAGAACCAGGCCCACTATAAAATCCAGGTTTTCTGAAATCTCCAGGTCTGGACTGTGAGAAGGAAACTTCTGATGTCTTCTCAGAATTTGGATTCTCCCCGCCCTGTAGAAGCATCTTATAGCCACTATTCCGAAACATGGCTAACCTGACCGAAAACCTGGTTCAAACAGACTACCAGAACATCAGCAAACTACACAAACTATGGCTACATGAAAAGTTGGCTAACATCATCTTAACTCACTTAATAGCCTCTGTAGCTGCAATGAAGTTCCACTTCTTGGTATCACCATAGTAATGTTGTGCAACAACTTCAACAAGTGTTTCCAAGTCCTTTAATGCAGATATGCATAACGAATAAGGAAATGTAGAAGGCTCAGGATGACCAGTGTGGATCTGAGATGGGGCGGTATCAATTATGTGTTCATTGATGGCAGTTATAACACCCAAGATAGCAGTCACTGCAGCAAAATGACAAACTTTCCCAATAAAACTCCAAATTCTTTCATTATACATGAGAAAAAAATGTGGAAAACAATAGCCAAAACGCTATAAGAACAAGCAACCTGAATTTTAATGAACATGGGCTTGCATGTACACAGTTTACTCCTTGAATTAAACCCCCACAATTTAAGAAAGCGATGGCCGATTAGTCAATCATGCTATCTTGAGTTTCCTTATATGTGGAGATTTAAAGCACTGAAAACATCTTTCCATATGTCTGGTTCCTCTTTGACCAAACAATCTCTCCTATTTGCAATTTGATGCAGAAAAGCTTTTTCAAAACCTAATTTGAAAACGAGTAGCTAAATGTAACCAAATTCTCGCACTTGTATGGTCAATTCAGCCCAACTATATCTCATAGCACAAGCAGAGAGGCATTTGATGCAGAAAAGGTCATTCAAACCCTAAGTTGATAATATGTAGCTAAAAGTTACCAAATTTTCACAAAACCTGCTTCTGGTCCTATCTCTGAAGAAGAGAATCGCTCTGGCAGCAGCCATGTTAAACCCTGTTCCACAATTAAAACATCCAGATGAGATGAGGGCATAGATAAGAGTCTGCTATCATCAGAAGTCAGCACACAACATCATAATTTACCAAAACCCGTACATAGAATAGTCCAAACCAATCTAAAAATAGCACACAAATAGAGCTTTCTTGTGCATGTTAGATCAAGAATGTCTAGTTATGGCTGAAACAATTTATACATGCCAGATGTGCTATGGAGTGAAGCAAATAAGACTTTTTTTCCACCCAGACAGAAAGGTATCAATACAGATGGATCAAGGTGGAATACAGATTGTAAGCAACAAGATGCACATAATTGAAATAGAAGCTGGGCAGCATCTAAGTTAGTGCTAGGCTGCAAATCCGTAATACTACCATTTTTCTTGTAAATTTAAATCAAGTTTGGAACACGCTGTAAATGAAACAGGGTGAGCAGGGAAAGAATTACCAAAATGCAGATGTTGGCCAAAGACATATCTTCACGCTTCTTTAACCATTTTTCTGTTGTCCAGCTCACGTAGAGCTTTATGTCAATGCAATCGCAGACAATAAATCACTACGAGTTAGTCAACTGCGAAACTTCCAAGTAAAAACTGCGTTGAGAAGTACAAGAGATACAACAACGTGATAAACATTTACACAAGAAGAAGATCCACAAGATCCCAAAAGACTTGATAATATAATTAATCCACCAAATGATGGCCATTGAGAGCCATCTATTAATAAACTTAGGTTAAAATTGCCAAAGATAGTGATGTTGTGCTCTTCGACAAACCGCGCCCCGTAAAGAAGTACACTAACAAGACTGTGGAACTAATCAAATGGCTTCTTATCCTCTCTACACAATGTTTTTCCTTCCGGCACATAAAATAATCCATCTGCCCAAACTGAAGCTTCCACCACTCAAAAAAGACTTGCAATAATATGAACCAAAATCTATGGCAACCCATTCACAAGGAGTGCAATGAAAGATGGCTTATGCCTTCTTATGGAAATGACACATACGCATCAGCCAACTAGGATAATTCCAATAGTAACATTATTAATGACAAAGTCCTCCTCACCGGGCTGCCTAGGAACAGGCTGCATCAGCACTAGATAAATACTGATGAAAAAAATGCAATGGGCTCTGTTATGATTGATCATCTTTTGTCATATAACTTCAAAGACACATCCAATCACAGAATTGACATAGAAAGGAACAATACCATATGGGAACATTCCTTGGGTCATTCATCCTAATAGTACTAATTCAATCATGGTTACCTTTTGACAAGAGATCTACTGAAAAATGCCATAGAGGGGAAAAAAACCGAAATACCAATTGGAAATTAAGTAAATAAAACTTTGAATTTGCTCCTTTTCTGTATTGTACTCTTATGCACTTGCTTTCAAGTAAAAATAATCTATTTTACTTGATCCAATAAAACAACTTCCCAATATTTTCCTTCTAATGTCTATTTGGACGTTTGAGTCATCATATCTTTCCGCGTGCTTACCCCAAAAGTTGCTAGTACAAGTTGATAACATAAAAAAAAGTCTTTTCACTTGCATATAATTTGAGTAGCAAATGTTTCATTTTTCCCTAGCTTAAGCCTAGACCTTTCCAGTGGCCAGTCAAATATATCATATTTTGATTTTTCCTACGGTTGTCGTCAGTTAGTAATGGTGGACACTCGATTCATCTTTCTAAGTAGACAAGACTTAGCTATATCACTGAAACTTTTAAGATTTGTCATGACTCTGATCAACAAGCCAGATTGAAACAAAAAAGATTAGGTTGTCATAGTTACTGAGATTGCGGTTAATTTTTGAATAATGGGCTGAGAAACTGATGACATTTCTCTCAATTCACTGTGTTGAATTCTCTTGCTTCTCTATTTCTTTCCACTTCTCGACTAAGCTATTACTCTCTTGCTGAAGCACATAATGCCCGTCCCCCCCCACCTCATAATACCCTCCCTCCCTCAATCTCCCCACACGCAAGCAGTCTCAGTACTTTCTGAAGAAAATAAAGATTACCCACATACAAACTAGCTCACTAAGGAAACTTAAGCAGCGTAGTTGCAGTTCTCTTATGCCTCCAAAGAACTAGCAACTGCCCCATTAAAGCATTTTGTGGATTACATATAGTAGAAGCACGTAAAAGTATAAGTACCCCGAAATTTATATGACTAGCTAACTAAAGGGCGCTTCTTCGGCTATTGCTTCTGAGTACTTTTACTGAAAGTTCCCTTCTACTCTCATACTATTTGAACAGAATCATGGACAGCAATAATCCTCCTCGACAGCTGAGAAAATTCACTTCGCACCAAAATAACCCACAAAAAAGAAAGAAAAAAGTAAGTAACTCTGTTCCATTATCTAATGCTCAAGTCATCACCCAAATATTTAGTGTACAAACTTCAACTGTATATAGCAGTTGCCAGACTCCCTAGGCAGCAACAACTTCAACACCGAAAAAAACTGTATCATGTCTTTCAATTCAACCTACTGCAACAGAGACGAAAAAAAATTAAAAAAACCCCCTCGCATAAATTCCTCTCATCCCAATCTTCACATAAAAATTTCCACAGACTGATCAACAAAAAATTACAGCATCGCTATAAAATTCTCTCAGCCATGAAGGCACCGGCCCACACCACCAATTCAGCACCATCCCCCACACTGTCACAGGACCCACCTACTGCTCGTGAACCCCGAGATCAGAACGGTCGCGGGGACGTTCAGTGAAAAAGACGGATTATCGACTCACCCCCACCAAAATCCCACTCCCATGCGCGCGCGCGCGCGCCATCGACCGATAACGGAGAACACTAAAGAGAAAGTCCCGGGAAATCTTACGTTGGCCAGAGACTCCAACGAGTTCACGTACTCCCTGTTCCTCCGGACCCACCGCTTGTAACCCTCCATGGCCCGCCGAGGGAACCCCGCTCGGCCGGCTCAGCCCCCCCGCTCCGATTCCGACGGCGGCGCGGCGGCGGCGGTGCTCCTCCGGACGATTCAGGTCCCGAACAACGCGCGAGCAGTCCACGAATCCCGAGGGCGGAAGAAGCTCCGAGTGAAATTGAAGAACCTTTTGATCCGTTGCGAATATCGTTTGTCTTTTACGTGAAACCCGTACTTCGATTGTCGGCCGTCGATTGGGAAAAATAGCTGATGATGGGTTTTCGGCCGTTGAGATCGTTCCCCTGGGGCCCGCGGTTTTGGACGGTGGAGATGTGGTTTGTGAATCGCTGTGGGCGGTCGATTTTGTGGAAATTTTTTTGCTGGTTGGGCGAGCGAGAGGGAAGCGGATATGGATTTCGCGCACTCCGATGCGTGGGGGAGACTTTTTTCGAGGATTTTTCATTTTGTTAGAATTCTATCAAACGAGACGACCAACTTTAAAAAAAAAAAAGAGTTTAAACTTTTTAATCATTATTTTGTTCGATATAGTTAACTCTTTGATAATAACAAGCTTATCTGGAAATTTTATAATATGTACAATTTAAATTGAAATGCATAGAAATATTTAAATTGACTGATGTAGTAATGACGCCGCTGGTTGTTTACCTCGACGAAAATTTCGCAAACTCCTTTTACAATCGACCCACCACGAATCGCTTGGATTCATGAATATGATTGATTCGCGCTCTTCTTTTGCACCCGCAAAAGGGAGGTAATCACGGAACTGGGAGTTTTGTGTTTTGACATAAAGTGGAAAGAATCAAAATGATTAGGACGATTGCTCCTTTGCACTCTCACTCTAACGGTCGAGATTGATCCGAGATAGAGAAAATCTCATCGAATCTGATGTTTACATAGTAAAAAAAAGAGCCTTTTATGCATCATGCTTGTCTCTTTCCACCCAAGCCATTGCTAAATGCTAGATGGATATGGAAATCCGTGTGTGTAAAAGAAGAAGATGAAATAAATTAGAATCGGTTGTGCAGATTATTATCTCTTTGGCTGGAAATTGTTGACGATGGCAAGACAGATAGAAAAGAAACCGCATGTAAATGATAGTCGATCCATAATCTAGTGTCGAGACTCCAAAAATAACTTTTGAGATCGTTTTTTATCTAATCAAAATTCATGGTCCCGTAAAAGACAAAACGACGATGTCGTTTCTTTTAGCAGGTAAAGGGCAGCAAAAGGTAATGTAAGCCGAGTTAGGAAGATAATTCTTCTCAGTTATTTCACCTCGGGTAGAACATACGAAAGGGAAAAGAAAAAATTCGGGAACGAGATATTACCGAAAAGGGCTATTCAACGGGTAACTTTAGGTTCGGGTTTGCATTTCAATGTAAGCATTGTTAACATAGGCTAACCACACAATTCAATTTGCTTGAGGAAATATAGATGCGATTCTATATTTTCAGAATCGTATATACAAACTAAGGTAAAAAAAAATAATAGATAGAGCTGCTCAAAAGGAATTTCTAAGGAGATGGAATTCGGAGAATGAACGATTTTCCAAATCACAGTGCATTGGGCCTCTTCCGAAGCGGGCCCATTAGCGTCTAAGCCCAACCCGGCTCCGCCAATCGACGGACCACGCCGCGCCACGGCGGACGAGCTTCGACGGTTAAGATCTTTGACGAGGAGGGGGAGGAGGCTAATTAAGGAATTTCGCTAGTATCGCCGATGCGATTGGTGGTGATACGATTGCAAATCCTGTCGTCGTCGTCGTCGTCGTCGTCGTCTCGGTCCTCTAGGGTTTCCTGTCATCGAGCGCCATCGAATCCCCAGTCCGAGCTTCCACAGTACTCTCTCTCTCTCTCTCTCTCTGCATTCGTCTGTCGAGCAGCTTTCGGGTCGCGAGGTCTGTCGAGACATCGTTCTCCATTGCTATGGCGGAGGAGGAGTCGTCTTCTGCTCCCTTTGTGCTTTTGCGTCCTGCGAGTCGAGGTTTCTTTGATTCGCAGCCGCTTTCGTTCTTCCGTGGCAGGTGGAAACCTTCGGGCTCTGTTCGCGCAGCCGAGATGAGGCCGGTCTTCGTGGGCAACTTCGAGTACGAGACTCGCCAGTCGGAGCTCGAGCGCTTGTTCTCCAAGTATGGCAGGGTGGAGCGCGTCGACATGAAGTCTGGTAAATTGTTTCCCTCTCTTTCGGTGCTGCTCAGTGCTCCGACCCCAGCCCCCACGTGAGCTTGTGTGCTCGAGGATGGATGTAGCGTCCGATTCTGCTGTACTGATTTCGGGAGCGCAGTCACTCTGTTGCCTTCCTTAGGGTTTTCGTTTTATCTGGACTCGATTGCGCTAATTTGACGAACGATACGATATGCGTAACGCGCACCCGAGAGGAATGAGTGCAGTGAACCGTAAATTGAATGCAATGACAAAGTAGTAGCAAACAGTGTTTTGGGGCAGGAAGATTTGACTTGCGGGACAGGTGGATGGATTAAGTATGAGTGGAAATGAAATGAAAAGAAAATATTTTGTAGAATAAGATGTGAGTCGCACTAGATTTGTGGGTCGCCCTCGCGTGGTCGCCTGCAGCCGAGGAATTTTCGATTTAATCGGAGAAAGTCTCCATATTTAAGTGTTTCTTTTGACGCAGGAATCTCTACTAGAGGAAAATGAGCTGAGACATCTCTGCACAACATTCCTTTTGGAAAGGAATGCTTCATGCTTGCCTGCTCTCCCGCCACATTTCAGATGGCACCATACTGCATTCCTTGCACTCCCTCATCCTTCACTCATCCTCCTTACTGCCATAAGTTGCCATCTTACAAGAATGGTCACGCCGGGCTCTATCGATTTTATTGCCCTGTCTATCAATCACGGCAGATATAGGGGGATCAGTGCATTCTGTCACGCCAACTTCCGTTTCTGATTCGTCTCTGAATGCTGAACTGAAGCATGCTTTTAGCAATGACATCTCAGAACTGAAACCTTGGATTTAGACCTTTAATATGCCACCACCATGACTTAGTTCAGCTTGCCACGCCTCTACAAACTTTCTGTACATCAGCCCTTCTCATATATGCAGGTGTCGTACGTTTCTAGTTTCTGCTAGGGAAAAGGAAAATGATTTAGTTGTTCGCTTTTCTATCCTCCGAATCTCTTCCTTTTAATACCTCCCATCATAACTTTTAATTCGTGGCAGGGTTTGCTTTCGTTTATTTTGAGGACGAGCGTGATGCTGCAGATGCCATTCGTGGCGTGGACAATATGCCATTTGGTTATGACAGGCGCAGGTTGTCGGTGGAGTGGGCTAAGGTGTGTAATTTTGTTTGCTGACGTGTTTATATATAACTCATGTCTTGTCTTGAGCTTTTTGTTTACATCTGCTAGAACTTTGGGAGTGGTCCTTGTTCCAATAAAGTTCATACAATTGGTTTTTTCCCTCTTCTAGGGAGAAAGGGGACGGCATCGAGATGGTTCTAGGTCGGTGGCGAACCAGAGGCCCACTAAGACTCTTTTTGTTATCAACTTCGATCCCATTCGCACAGGAGTTCGTGACATAGAAAGACACTTTGAACCTTATGGGAAGGTTCTTAATGTTCGTATACGTCGGAACTTTGCATTTGTGCAGTTTGAGACTCAAGAGGAGGCTACAAAAGCTTTGGAGTGCACTCACATGAGGCAATAAATGCTTTTATGTTTATTTATTGTGTCATCTGCCGCACAAATCTAGAATCACAGAATCTGTATATTGAAGATGACTTTGCACTTTTGCAGCAAGATATTAGACAGAGTTGTCTCAGTTGAATATGCTTTGAAGGATGATGGTGAGAGGGATGAAAGATTGGGCAGCCCTAGAAGAGGAGGTCATGGTCGGCGTGCGGATAGTCCTTACAGGAGGTCACCTAGCCCACTGTATCATCGGCGACCAAGTCCTGATTATGGTCGAGCTCGAAGCCCAGTGTATGATCGATACAATGGTCCAGCTGGCCCAGCTTATGACCGTCAGAGGAGCCCAGAGTATGGCAGATACCGCAGGTACCATTCTACCCTTTTGAAGAAGGCGTATGAATTTGCTCAATGAAGACCTTTTCTTTTTGCTTAATGAGGATGTATGCATCAGTGATGTTTCTTGACTTTTTTGTTTTTGTCCATTTGAACAGCCGCTCTCCTGTTCGAAGATCGAGAACTTGAAGATCCTTGAGAAGCTCAGTAGAATGTGGAGATTAAACCAAATAGATAGCTGCAGACTTGTTACTTGTCTAGTTTTAGGGACTTTTTGTGGAGATTGAAGTCGTAATGCTACTCTATCTCTGGACCTGCCTGTTGCTCTTAAATGATCTCTGGATGATCATTAATATTGAACCATCTTGCTTTCTTGCTTTTGGTAACTCCGAGTTGGCTGCTGTTAATTCGCCCTTAATGTGGAAGAACCTTCTACTTTACTGAAGATTGTCAAGAAAATATCTGCATCCTGTGCCTTTTTAATGATGGGAATTGACACCATTCTCGGTGTCCCATAAAATCTTTCATTTTTGTTCTAAGCTTCATAGTCATGAATGTAAGCATGGTCGTGAATGTAGGAGCCTAATTTCAGGCCCAATTTTGAACTTGAAGGAGCTGCTGCTAGCTGCCTAAAGTCGGGAATTAATGTGCAAGGCTATCTGTTTATTAAAACATTTGCGAGGTTAGAAGAAATTGCTGCTTAATGATGTACATGTGGGATTCATGACAACCTGGTTGTTCTTTTTTGGTGGGTCACTTTTTGTGCTGCTGAACAACCCATCTTTTTGGGCTATGCAAGCAGTAGCATCAGGGATTTTGCTGCCCAACAGTTTTCGAAGAAAAAGGGCAGATACGATGTCTAATGATTCTCAAATATAAATATATATCTGTATGTATGTATGTATTGTATTTTGCCCATTCATACAACAGGAATGTGATCGTGGAGAAAAATGAGCCGTAACGAGCTTTTGGCCATTGTCAATAGCTGTAAATGCAGGAATAGGGAGAGTCAACACGAGGTTCACATAGTCCTATACTCCTTTCAACTTATTCCACTGGAAGCACCATGCATGATGTAAAGAAATGCGATGAGTCGTTCTATCGCCTTTGTTACAAACTCGTTTACATGTAAACGCAGGCGAACGACGCTTAGAGATTGGAAAATTCTCCTGAACTTGTTGAAGGAACACGAGTTTGACTAGAAGATTTGGCAAGCTCCTCATCGAGGGCCTTCTGAAGCCAAGCCTCCGCATCTTCCATCAATCCAGGGCTGAGCCTCACCATCAGGATGCAAAACTCTGTCTGGTTAAGGGCACCGTCACCGTCGAGATCTCCCTCTTTTACCATCGCCTCCGAGTCTTCCATGCTCATTCCCTCCATTCCTAGAAGTGCTGAATTCTTTCTCAGGCTTTCTGATGTAATCAAACCACTTCCAGGTTCTGCCAAGAGCCTGAATCCGCCACATAACTCCGACACGAAAGTCTCTACGTCGAGCTTCTCTGCCATCACCGGCAACATGTCCTTGAACTCCCTGTCATTGTTGGTGGCTTCCATTATTTCTTTGGAGTGATCACTCTCCATCTTTCGACGCTATGATTTGCAAGCCTGATCAGTGAAATGGGCGAGCTTTTGGGATGCAAAAGAAGCTCCTGTGATGGGAATCTAGCAGATGGGTCATGTGGAAGGAAGAAGTTCTTGATGGTGTGGAAAATGTGATGGGTTTTTATTGGATGATATAGGTAGGGTGGTGGGGATGGGATCGGGGGGTATTTGAAGTTGTCAACTACAACAGGAGGACTTAGGTGTCCATCATATAAACCACCCATGTTGGGAAAATCAACGGCGCTGATAAGAAGCAATCCAGAAAGAACCTGTTCGATAGGCCCTTTTCTCTCGTGTGGAGGACTTCAAGGAAGGTGCCTACTGTTTGGATGGGAGGGAATACAGGATCTCCAAAGGTCAGGCCAGAGAGATAGCTTAATTTGTCCAGAGCTGCGGCTTCTGAGAAGCTTCCTTTCTCTCCATCACTATCATTTTGATCGCTTCTAAATGCTTATTCTTCTGTCTGTTCTTTTCGATGACATCTGCCGTCCATTTTAATAATTCATGCCCAAACAAAATGAAGAGGCGTGCTGGTCGCTCGCTCTGTCATCATCTTATTTTGAGCCGGTTTATTCATTGAATTTTCTCTCATTTCAAAAGGAAGGGGGGAAAACAGTCTTTACCCATGAAAGCCTGGCAAAAGTTACTCCACAAACAACTCCAACATGCGATTAATTGATTATGCACTTTAGTTAGAACTCCTGAGTCTTCTCTTCCCTGGGGAAACACCATGGCAAACCAGAGCACATTGTTGGAGGGGTAGCCTTCACCAACATTAGGATGAATGGCAACTTCCTAGTGTGATAGAAGGATATATTGGCATAATTTGTATGCTGAGTTAATGCTTAGGACACGACTATGTAGATTCTTATATTTGTTATAGCCAGAGAAACTTGAAAAATAGTGAGGGCAGCATTCAACGGTAAGATGAGCCTAAGATCTAACCTTAAGTAGCTAAAGAAGGATCTCTCTTGCTTCCATTCTTTGCAAGGGTTATGCATCAGTAAAATAGAAGATCAAACAATGATTTCATGCCGGATCATACTCACGCCTCCTGCATAGACTGGAAAGAGAGGCAACCATATTAAAATAGAATTAGGCTTGCTGATAAGAGCTGCAAAGAGAACTTCAAACAAAGCACAAATTCGGGATGGTTCGGTGGGACAAACCGCATCTAACATATTGTTCCGGGATTACAACTCATATAATAAGATCTTTTTCCTTGCAGCAGTTTGAAGAAAAAAATGGTGGCAAGTCACTTGACAGGAGAACCCAAAGTGTACATAGACATGTATTGATCATCAGCTTAGGAAAATCGCAACAAGTGTAATTATTAATGATTAGTAAGCTTTTTCTTTGTCATCCATCTCTTCTTGGTGGCCTCCAAAGCTTCCTCTCTCATTCTAGAAAGTTCACAAAACCAATGCCGATATTGTGCTTCAATTGCATCCAGATCCAACTTCAGCTCAAGATCCATACCTTTCTCCACAAATGATAACGAAGAACAGCTGCTTGTGAGGCTCATGACGTTAGATATTCCGCTCAAATCAGGAAAAGACGATGTCGAGTTCCTAGGAAAGTCGTTCATTTGGAAACAATCTCCAGCTCTGCTATCATTCTCAGACAATTTGCAATCCTCATAATGTGAATCCCCAAAATCCTCGGAGGCATACCCACTCGAGCCATTGAAGCTTCCATCCATGATACAATCTACAAATTCAGCTGCTTCATCATGTTTATGTACTAGTATCTCTGAAGCAACCGATGCACCTGAATCTTGATCTCCCAAATTAGCCAGGTGTTGAGACGAATAATAGCCATTGTCATAAATGGTTCTACCAATGCTATCATAAGAGTCACCCTCACCGCCATGCAGCCTACCATCCTGCAGACCTGCATGTAAAATTAGACCACCATCTTGCTTATTCACTAGTTCAGCTGGCATGCTCGTTAGCATTGAACCCGACAGGCTACGTTCTGAGACTTTGTCTTTCCCATGAACTGAGGAAATTCCGGGTACCACCACTCCATCCAACATATGACTGGATGAGGGCTTCCAACCAGGTACAAGTCTCATTATTAGAAAGTCGATAAACTCAGCAATGAAGGTGACATCATGATCTGCCAACTCCAATTGTTCAACCATCTCCGCCGCCACAGAGAGTGCAGTATCACTATCAAGGTAAAAGAGAAAATGTATATTTCTGACTCGACCTGAGAGAGAGGAGCAGCCAATTACATGTTATCACCTTGCAAGTGTTCCCCACAGTCAAGGTTGAAGAGATACTTCAAGGGAAAAAGAGAGAACATTCAAAATGCATATGAACTAACCAGCTGAGTCAGCAATACGCAAGGTCAATGAAACAGTGTTGTCTTCATTTTTCATTCCTTTCAGCCCGAACTCATTATTGTTATTCATCCTCTGAAATTCCAGAACGGGGCAATGCGGAGTCTTCTTGTTGCTTCTATCACAGGTGCTTAAGGACAGTTGCTTATAGTCGGTGTCAACATCCATGGACAGAGGACCCGACAAATTTAATGACCCGGGACTTAAACTAGGCAATGACAAAGGATCGCGAATCAATTCCTTTCGATTCTCAGTTTGAAGGAAGCCATCAGTCAGAAGCTCCTTTGCAGAAAGCCTATTACTTGCGGGAACGAGACATTTCTGAATGAACTCCCTAATTTGAGGATCACTCACCTTACTAAGAGAAGTGGGTTTCACCCCCTGCAGCAAAGCACTAAAGTAAAACTAGATGCTCCAACATTCAAGAGATTAACTAGAACTTTTAGAGATGATGGAGCATTAAATGATTATTGGTGAGTTTACCGAGGTAACTTTCTTATATATCTGAGCTGCATTTATGCATTCGTTGTAGGGGTATTCACAAGTAACCATCTCCAACATGCACATCCCAAAAGAGTATACGTCAACAAGTTCGTTATAGTTCTCTTCGTAAAGCTCGGGTGCCATAAACTCAGGAGTTCCTGCGTCAAATACATAAAAACTATGAAAGTTCACCAAATTTACTATCTCAAAGCAGACAAACTAGTACCTCACCTATAACACTTCGAGCTGTTGGTTGCTGCATAACAGTTGCTAACCCAAGATCTCCAATTTTAACTTCTCCGTGATTTCCATTTACGAAAATATTGTCGCACTTCAGATCTCTGTGAATGATTGGAGGGTTGTGACCATGAAGGTAGACCAGACCTTGAAGAATCTGCCTTGCCCAATTTTTTATTGCCTTCATGTCCACATTTTTATGCTTCTTGCGAAATCTGATGGCCAAAAATTGCATGATTACTCTAATTAAGTTCATAACGCTGAACTGAAGCGACCGTTCAGAGGAAAGGCTTGAATAAGAAGAAAGAAAAAAATAAACCAAACAATGTAAATAAAGTGGACAAGAAACTCAGTGAACATACTGCCGCAAGCTTCCCGATGTGAAGAGCTCAGTAATCATGTTAATAGTTTTCTTCTTGTCATCCACCCAGGAATCGTAGAACTTCAAGATATTTTCGTGCTTCAACATTTTCAGCAAATGAACCTCCACATACAGTTTTTCCAGATCTTCTGGTGACTGCAAGACATCATCAATTCTGACTTGGTTCCAGGCAACTTCTATCCCATCAACTTCATCAAATGCCTTGTATCTGAAGCAGAAGGTTTGCTGGTGTTAAGAAAATTCTCTCACCAAACAACCGACTCCACATGGAAGTTGCAAGAGCTGCTTAATAAAGTATAAAAGTTTGAAACTTCAATAAGAGAGTGAGGTGAACGGGAGATCATACACAGTCTTGAAAGCGCCCTTGCCCAAGATCTCGCTATACTGCGACAGAAGGAAAGAAAACACCAATAACAACAGTTGGGAGAAGGAGAAAAATAAGACAACTTTTCAGTCCCTATTCCATAATGTTGTCAACCAAGTTTTGCTCCATGAAAGTACTTCTGAAGCATGCATCAAGTGCTAACATAACAACAGTTAAAACTTGACAACCATCCTAGTTAATATTAGTAGTCCAAATTCAGGATCATGAGCTTGAACATGTGGTAGAACAAGTAAAAGCCGCTGTAGAATGTGATGTGCCGTGTCCCCAACAAACTTTGACGTTGCTTGATGCTGCAGGCCAATTAAGGAAGCTTAAACACCTACAACACCGTAATTTTCCGCACTCATAGGCGGATGCTCGCCGGTGCTCATAAATACTTGAGTATACAATGTAATACCTATTAAAATCAAGCATTTGATCACAGTTGCTAATTTGATAATCCAACTTCAGTGTCATTCAATGAAATCGATAGAACTCAGGTGTCTTATTCGAATAGGAGATAAATGAATAGCAAAGGCACGGACAATACCCGAACATAGCGGCCGGCGGGATCCTTCTCGACATAATCAGAGTCGGAGTCGGAATTATCGCCGCCACCCCTGAACAAGCCGGTGTCATTGGCAGGACAGACGGAAAGGGTACTCATTCCAGCCAAGAACCACGCAGAAACCAGGAACCCGAGGAAGAAGCAGGCGGCGAATCTGGGAATTGAGAAACGGCGATGAGTCAGAAAAGCAGTCGCCGTTGATCGACCCCAGGAGGAACGGAACGACGACGACGACGGGACAGATGGTGGTGGTCCTTCGGTAAAGAATAGAATGCCGCCGATCCCGAGGATCGGAGTCGGCATCCGAGAGCAACGTGAGAAAGCTGTCGTTGCCGTCGACGGCGAAGCAGCAGAGGAGGAGGCAACGATGAGCTTGTCGCGCGCAGAAGCCCTCTTGCCGCGCCACCCAAATCCACCATCTTCTCACACCAAACCCAAACCAAAACCAAAACCCATCATTCTTTCTTCGAGCTGGTTCAAACTCGCCCGCCCCCACAAACGAAAAAAGCAAGAACGTGATGTTCCAGAGTAACGGGTACGAGGATACGAGGTGGGAGAGAAATCAGGGCAACTGACGGGAGGGAGGAGATGGAAAAGGAAAAAGAAAAGGGGGAGAAAAAAGGCAAGAATGGAGGTTAATATGAACGCCATTATCGGGAGAGCAGGAGGAGAGCGCGCCAGAGAAGGGATGGCCAACACTTGTGCGGTGGACCTTGCGATCTCACGGTTGCCATTTCGTTCCCTGCAGCTTCCAGTCCCGACCATTAAAGACGAAACGAATTAACGAAATTACCGAACGGACGCTCCATCCATC